AATTCCCCCTGTCGGGGGACACGCCCGACTCAACTGTAGGGTTAAGTCGGGCCTGTCTCTTTACTTTGGAGTCCCCGAGGCGGTGCGGTGACGGACCGCGCGGTGACCTCAAGATCCCCCAAGGCCTCACCGCACGGTCCGTCGCCACATGCTTTTGGGGCCCTGGAGGCCCGCGTCGCCCGAGACATCCTTGGAGAGGGACCCGAGTCCCAAAACCGTGCGGTGACCCCGAATCCCCACCGACTCACCACACGGTGTGGTCACCACACCGTTCGGGGGCCCCCTTATGTACAGGAGGGATATTCATAAATAGCCCCCAAAATAGTCACGGGGCGATTTTTTCCGTAGTTTTGAATGTGTGTGTGTGTTTTTTGTTCGTATTGTATTATTTTCTTCTCAAATCCGCCTGGAGGGGGACACGCCCGACCTAACTTTCGTGGGGGATTGGCTCGGGGGAGGATGCATCGAACCCCAATCGCCCTGTGATCGCCGACAGGGACCTGGTAGCCCAGCCCGCCCAGGAACGTGCGCATTTCACGCTCCCCCCTCTGCGCCAGCCCCCCCTGGCGTTGCCACTCGCGTTTGGAGCCCATCGGCGTGCCGCTCCGTCGTTTCTGCCCGCGAGCCCCGGTGTTTCAGCAGCGCGCTGATGGGCTCCCCCACGGCGGCGTGTGTCGTCGATCTACTGTGGTTGCTCTTTCGGTGCGCTGCGCCAGCGGTCTGCGTGAGCCCCTGCGCAGGGTTGCCGCGCCTTCGCGCCCGAGGCCCGTGCTTCGGAGGGTGGTAGAAGTCCCCCCACCCTGCCACGTCGACCTCGGCATCGCTCGCACGTGTGCGTGTGCCCCTCGGCGAGGAGCATCTTGGACCCCCTCGCGAAGCAGTGCGCGCACGAACTCGAGCAGTGCACGGGGAAGGGACGTGCGAGTGATGGCGAGCTCCTCGCCGATGAGCGAGTTGCCGTTTTCGGCTCGGGGGAGGGTGCCGCGGCCGCCCGCAGCTTCTGCGGGCCTGTGCCCGCCACGTTTTCCTCCTCCTCCCCCTCCTCCTCCTCCTCCTCCTCCTCCTCCTCCTCCTCCTCCTCCTCCTCCTCCTCCTCCCCCTTCTCCTCCTCCTCCTCCTCCTCCTCCTCCTCCTCCTCCTCCTCCTCCTCCGGTGCCGTGCCGTGTTTCCACCACAGCGGGTGCTTTGCCGGAGAGGGATGCTGCCCCCCCCCCGAGTTTTATTGCGGTGGGATCCCGGCCACCAGAGACCTTCCACAAGAACCGGGGGCGGCAAAGAGGGTGGTGATGACTAAGATGTCATGGATAGGAGGAGGAGGAGGAGGAGGAGGAGGAGGAGGAGGAGGAGGAGGAGGAGGAGGAGGGGGAGGAGGAGGAGGAGGAGGGGGCGGAGGAGGAAGAGGAAGAGGAGGAGGAGGAGGAGGAGGTGTAGGAGGAGGAGGAGCAGGAGGAGGAGGCGGGGAAGGACTAGGGGGGGTGGATATCATGGCTGGGGCCATGATATTTCCCTAGAGTTCATGGCGCCCCTTCTTATTTCATTACGTCCCTGGCCCCCCCCGCTGGGCCGCGTACATGCCGCCGGCCATGATTTGCACCCCCCCCTCTTGGACACCCCCCTCTTGGCCGCTCCCGACCCTGGAACCCCGAGGCGTCCCTTGGTTGTTGGTGTGGGATCGTCCCGCTTTCCACCGCAACACCAGCGGCACCCTGGAGGGCAAGCGGGGAGTCTCTTGGCATGAGCTTCCACTGCAGGTCTCTCGTTTGGGGAGGTCTCCGAAGCAGCAGGCCAGGCAGGGGGCGAGGTACCTGTTCCGGGTGGCCGAGTCCGACGTGGACTTCTTTTTCCTGAAGCGCTACAGCGATTTCGTGTCGCTCGACAAGGCGCGCGGATAGCGTTCTTCCGCGGGCTGTCCTCTCTTCCCTCCCACCCTCCACTCCTCGTCACCACCATTCCCATACCACAACGTCCCCTCCACAATCGAACATTCTGCATACTAATATCCTCTCTCCCCTGACTCTGTCCAGAAGATGTCTGGCCCTCTTTGCGTACTCTTTTTACCTATCGGATGGTACTGCTTTGTGCAATCCGAGTTGCTCGGAGTTTCAAAGTGGTGTTCCCGTTGCAACGTGGGCCTTACTTTCGGATCGGCGCGTTGCTCCCGTCGTTCAGAATGGTGCTCTCGCCCCAGCGGGGGGCACATCCCTGGATCCGAACCCTTGTTCATCGCTGTCGCCCCCCATCATTTCCCCTCCTCCGACTTCCCCTGGTCCTCGTGCTCCTCCCGCTCCTTCCACTCCACTGCTGCTGTCCGTCCTCGTCGTACTCCTCCTTCCTCATCCTCATCATTTTCCTCCTCTTAATCCTCCTTCTCATCGGCCACCTCCTCGTCCTCCTCCGCCTCCTCCCATTCCTCCTCCTCCTCCTCCTCCTCCTCCTATGCACGCAGCCCCCACGTTCCGATTACGCTCAACATGACTGAGTCTTTCTGGAAGTTGCAGGTCTGCTATGGCACGCGTGCGCGAAAAGCAGCAACGTCATCGCAATGGCAAGAGATTGGAGGGAGGGGTAGGATGACAGACATGACGCGAGCGGGCTGCTGCTCTCCTGTCGCCATACCCATCTCTCACTCATTCTTCGCCACAGATCCCTCTCCTCTCCCATTTCCCTGTCCGTTGCTTCCCTCGTTTCCTCTCTCTTCCCTCCATCCCTTCCCCGTTCTTTCTCCTCACCTTACCTCTCCTCCTCCTCCTCCTTCTCCTCCTCCTCCATTTACACTCTCTTTCTCAGATAGCCCTCCTCATCCTCCTCATCCTCGTCCTCCTCCTCGTCCTCCTCATCCTCCTCCTCCTCCCTCTTCGCCCCTCTCCACCCCTTCACCTGCTACTGCTTCTCCCCCCATCCTCACCTGTTGCCTGCCCTCCTGCTCCTCCCTTCGCCACGCCCTGTCCCCCTCTGCCCATTCCTCCGCGAAGAGATGGCGGGAACTCCCGTCTCTCGGTCTCTGCCCGGGCGCCGCGAGTGGTGTGAGGGTGCCGTCGGTGCTCTGCATTGTGCGGGCGTCCCGTGCGAGAGGGTCAGAACAGGCGCGAGCGCACGGTCGACGTCAACCAGGTTCGCCTCCCCATCCTTTTTGTTGCCCCCCAATGCTAATGGGAACCGCCGCCCCCCCCCCTCTTCCGCCGATGCTCAGAGGAGGAGCAAGTGCCCGTGCCGCCACCCTTGCCTCGTCTTCGCCAGGCTGGGAGGCCAAGCCCGAAGGACCATGGCCCATCGCTGGCGGCGACTGGTCTCGCCTCCTGCCGCGTCGCGGCCAGGTGGATCACCCATGCACCACTTCCATGTCCAGCTCTTGGGAGGCCCTCGTCGCCACGGCTGGACTCGCAAAAAAATGTTGGTCAGGACGCACCCCGGGAGAGGTCTCTCACCGCTGGCGGGGGCCCGCTGGCCCACCCCGCCCAGGAAGCTGAGGATTGGCGATTCGCCATCTGGGGCCCATCGCCGATCTTTCGGCGATGCCTCGCCGATTCCAGCTCGATGGCTCCTCTCTCTGGACCGGTCCCCCCTGACCGTGCCCCCGGGAGGGCCAGCGCACAGGGGCTCGGCCTCCAGGAGAGGGCCAGAGATCGTCATCCCGGTCGTCGTCGTCGTCGTCGCTATTGTCGCCATCGTGGTCGTCCGTTGTTTGGCTTCGACGTCGTCGTTGGCCTCGTCGTAGTGATCTTCGGGTGGTGGCGGAAAACCCTTGGACCCATCCCATCTGGGCGGGGGCTTGTGTTATGATGTTCCAACCTACTTTAGCCTTGATCACCAGAATGACTTTCGAGCACCAAGAAAACACCCCCAAACTTGAGGGTTTTCACGTGTCGGGCCCTGGGAGACGCTCTTTCGAAACTGTTTCGACACTCTTTCGACACTCTTTCGACACTTTTCTGGGTGCTCGAAATTACTTCTGGGATGTGGTCCGTAGGTACGACGGGAGCAACATAAGGCTTGTGTAGCCTTTCAAAGAGATCACACCAAGATATGGATACGTAGCACCCCGCAATTGCGGAGAAGAGTGAGAAGGGCGGCCAGGACGTCGGCAGCTTGCGAGGCTCTGAAGAGTCCGCCGCAGGCGCCTAACTCTCACAAGCTATGCGGTGAGTCCGCCGCAGGCGCCGATTTTCTCGTTCAAGCAATGTGGGTAGGTCGCGGCTGGGTCGCGGGCTGGGTCGCGGCTGGGTCGCGTGCGGGTCGCGGGGTGGGTCGCGGGTGGTTCGCGGGGTGGGTCGCAGGTGGGTCGCGGGTGGGTCGCGGGCGGGTCGCGGGGTGGGTCGCGGTTGGGTCGTTGGTGGGTCGCGGCTGGGGTCGCGGCTGGGTCGTGGGTGGGTCGCGGGCGGATCGCGGGGTGGGTCGCGGCTGGGTCGCTCCGATCTGTTCACGTGCCAATCAATACGTATATCCCAATCCTTCGGTACCCGCCCTCGTCGTCTTCGATTGTACCCCCTTGGGGGTATATCTTCCTTATCTTCCACGTGCATTTAGTGCAGCCCCTGAGAACAAGGGAAGAGAGGACGGGTGGAAGGGGTAGGGAGAAGAAGGGGCACGAGAGAAATTATCATGAGGGGGGCAAGGAACCGAAAACAAGTGGTAGAACCAGACAGGCAGATCGGGTGGGCAGACCCATAGCGGGCAGGTCGGGTAGGCGGGCCCAGGCGACCAAGTCGAGCAGGCGGGTTGCTGAAGCGTGGGTCCTGCGTGAATCATGAGGCAGTCTCGAGCGATAGCGCGATTTCTAAGTAAATCGTGAGAAAAGCCAAAGCGAGAGCGTGATTCCTGAGCGCCGAGGGCGCATCGTTGGAATAAATTGGGAGGAAGTCCCACGCGAGAGCGCGATGCGTGCATGAATTGTGAGGTAATCCTAAGCGAGAGCGCGATTTGGGAATACATGGTGCGGAAGTATCAGGCGGGAGCCGCTGTTGTTGTAAACCGGGGGCCAGGGCCCCAGTTCGAGCCCAGTGATTTTCCTTAATATAAACACAGGGTGCGAGCCTCGGGGGGAGCACTTCATGTGAAGAAACAAAATGGTCACCGGAGGGGGGATCAACAATAATTAGTTTTCCAGTAGTGAGGGTTCAACAACAATAATTAACAACAGCAACAACAACAATCAGCAACGCAGAACTTCACTTGAGCCACGCGCCCAGGGACAGTGAATGACCGTTCGGCCCCCTCACCCAGATATGTGTGTATATATATATATATACATACATACAGACAGATAGATAGATAGTGGCCTTCGGCCCATCCGCCACCGTGCCTGGGTTGTGGGTCAGACTTCTCTGGGATGCTTCTTCGGGTCTCTTCGGGGCGCCCTCCAGGGCCTTTGGGGATCAGTTTTGGGGCCTCTTGGGAGCCTCTTGGGGGCATCTTGGGGGCCTCTTGGGGCCTACTGGGAGCCTCTTGGGCCTCTCGGGGGCCTCTTGGGGACCTCTTGTGACCTCCCAGGGGCCACTCTTAGGGTCGTTTTTGGTTCCTCTTGGGCGCCTCTTGGGCCGGCCGTCTTGGGCCGCCTTGGAGCCCTCTTGTGGGCCTCTGGGGCCGTCTAGATGTATCGGAGATGACGGGGGTGAGATTGCATTTCAACGGAAAGCCCCCCCATCGACAAATCGGTTCCGGTGTCGTGTTCGTGTCACGCGTCCGGGCGAGGCGGAGCTGCGTGGGCGGGCAAGAGGAATGTACCCTCCTCTGGCTAGGGTGCCGCCGGATCAACAGACCGCCCTTCCAGGTTGTTTGTCGGTGGCCAGGGGTGTCACGCGGGTGTCCTGCGGGTGTCCCGCTGGTGTCCCGCTATGAGATTGACAGTGAGATCGATAGTGGAATCGATGGTAAGATCAATCATAAGATCGATAGTGAGATCGATGGTGACATCGATGGTGAGATGGATAGTGGGATCGATGTTGAGATCGATAGTAAGATCTATAGTGCGATCGATTGTGAGATCGATGGTGACATCGATGATGATATTGATAGTGAAATCGATGGTGAGATCGACTGAGATCGATCGTGAGATCTATTGTGAAATCGACTGAGATCGATCGTAAGATCGATCGTAACTTCGATTGTGAGATCGGTAGTGCGGCGATCATACGTTCGATAGTCATTCAGATCGAGAGATCGATAGTGAGATCGATTGTGTGAGACGTTGGCTCCTCCCTCCCCGACCCGATGAATCACCCAAAGGGTGGTCGTATCGCCTTGCTGGGCCTCCTGGACCTCCCCCCGGCGCTTTGAAACAGCTTCAGGACGGACAATTGTATAAGCGACCAGAGCGGCCCAACAGGGCAGCACGAACGTTTCCAAGACGGCTTAAGACGGTTCAAGCAGCTCCCCTGATGGGCCCAGGGGGCCCGACGAGCACACCTCAGAGCTCCCCACCAGAAGGCACACAGCATGAATTGTTATGTTTTTTGTTGATCGATTTCTGCAAAATCTGCCGTTCCGCGCCTCAGGGCGCCAACGACGCCCTGGAGACCGCCGAGCTCGACTGCCCAAAGGAGCCCCCAGAGGGCCTCAGGTAGGGCCCTCTGCGGGCCCAAGACGGTTCAAGAGCGCCCCAAGAGGGCCCCCAGAGGGGCCCACGCTTAGCGGGCCCCGGAAACGGCGGGGCCGGTTTTTTCACCGTTTCCGAAAAAGTTTCCTTTGAAAATGGAAGCGGCAAAAAAACGGCGACCAGAAACAGCATTAAAAACAGTTCCAGGATTGGAGCCGGAGCGGGAACCCGTAAGAGAACGGCGACGGAACCGGCAACAAACACGGCGTCGGATCCAGCAACAAAAACGGCAAAACGGAACCGATAACAAAAACGGCCTTGTCGTTTCCAGGGCCCGCTAAGGGCCCACGACGGCCCAGGAGGGCCCCTTGGGGGGCGCACGACGGCCGAGAGATCCTGGCGGCCGCCAAGTCGGCACAGGATGGGCCCAAGAAGCTCCAGCACGGCCCCCCCCGCACGGCCCCGAGAGGGCCCCGGGGCAGCCCGAGAGGCGTCCACGCCAGCCCGAAATTTGCCCCAATAGATTTCTTAACAAGGCTCAGGAGGGGAAAAACACACAGACACATGGTCGATTCCCCAGAAAATATAAGAAAATATGGGAAGCGGGGGGGGGGGAGACAAAAACCCAGAAAATATGGGACAATATTGGGAACATTTTTATTTGTGTGTATTTTTTTGTGTGTCCCAGGGCCCCTTCAAAGGCTCAAGATGGTTCCAAAGCCGCTCCAAAAGAGCCCCCAAAAATCCGCATCTCCAGCTTGCGCCCGATAGGCTCCCAGATGGCCCCAGGACGGCCAGAGGAGACCCTCTTGCGATGCGGTGTCCTGTTGGCGCGGCTAGAACCTAAGCAAGCACGCATCGCGGGCTCTTGACACATACGGTGGAGACCCGTGCCATGAAACACCCTACCCTGCCTCCAGGGTGCCCTGGGCTTCCTGGGTTTCCGATGGCTTTGTGCAATTGCAAGCGTGACGTTCCCGCACCAAAAACAAGTGGACGTCATGGGGTCCTCCTCCTCCTCCTCCTCCTCCTCCTCCTCCTCCTCCTCCTCCTCCTCCTCCCTCCTCCTCCTCCTCCTCCTCCTCTTCCTCCTCCTCCTCCTCTCAGGGTTGGGTTTCTTGTGGGAGGTTTCTCGTGGTCGAGCCCCTGCTGCACCCTCGAAGCTCATCCTGAGTCGGCTTCGACGGTCCCCAGGGCCCGTGTGGAGGGTCCCAGGGCCCGAACGCGGCGAACGTGTCCCGCACCACATCTCCTCCAGGACGCGCTCCCCGCACGATTCTCGACGAAGCCCGGCTATGTTTCAAACCCACGCTCCTCGGGAATGTTCGAGGACATGCAGACACGTATCGAGGCGCGTCGTCAAGCGACGGGTCCCGTCTTCGCGCCGGTTCGGCGCGCTCTGTCTTCACATCGGCCGCTTTGGGCCTCGTGTTTCGAGGGTGCGTCCCCCGATCCGCGGACCTGGCGCCTGCGGGCCATATCCACGGATGCCTAATCCATGTCAGCGTATAGCCGAACGTTGTCATCGAACATAAGCAGCGCGTAAGCCGACTGACACAATGAAGACGGAGCCTAATTTAGCTCCCCGTCCTTGCATGAGGAGTAGCTAATCAATGTGTGTGTGGTTTGGTTTGATCGGCGCTGACTAAAGGACCACTTCGGGACCCAGGCTCGGGTTCCGGGCCAGATTTGTGTTGTGGAACCTGCTTGTGGCATTGGCCCACGGTGGCCAGAAGATAGCCGTTTCGTTCCTTCCTAGGCGTCTCTTCTGGTAGCGCGGCGACTGGTACATCTGCTGAAAGGACCCCCTAACTATCCTTGATGTCTTGAGCGTCTCAACTTGGCCGCTCCCAAAATGCAATCAAAGGGTTACGAGTCCGTTAGAACGGAGTTAGGACGAGGATATATCCGTTCCAGAGCGTTCCAGAACGCCCTAAGAGTGTTCCGGAACGCTCTGAGAAGGCAGCGGCGCTCTATACATCCTCCAAAGCAGCCGAATCTCAGAGATTCTCGATTTATTCTCACCTGATGTTATCCTCGTCCTGGCTTCGTCTTATTTTTCATGGCCACACCTCAGAAGGAAAAGGCCTTCTCAGAAGGTTTTCAAAGCCCCCCCCGGCCTCTGAGAAGTCTTCTGAGCCTTCCCCGGGGACGCGCAGAAAATTTCAGAAGGCGCGAGGGCTTCTGAGAAGCCCCGCCGCCTTCTGAGAGGGCCTGCTCCTCCATAAGGAAAATCCTGGAGGCCTCGCGCGACGCGCAATAGTTGTATCATCTAGTCTACACGTCCGCTCCGTGAGATCTGGGTCGACGTTCGCACGGCGATCTTCCGCCGTACAAGTACGACGTGCATCCGACACAATCCGACGGGAACTCGACGTAAATCAGACGTGGATCCGACGTACATTGGGTGTCAAGTTGCCGCGCGATGCCTCCAGGATTGCTAAGGCCTTACGGCCTGTGCCGCCGACCCTGACGACGACGACGACGAATACGAGGAGGTGGAGGAGGAGGAGGAGGAGCAGGAGGAGGAGGAGGAGGGGGATCAAGGTAGAAGGGAGCCGGAGACGGCGAAGGAGATGTTCCCCATGTGGGCCGAGGGAGTCGTAGCAGAAGCAGACAGGGAGCCCTGTGGCCTGCGGCCCCTCCCGCCACCGCTCTGGGGCTGTGGCCGAGAGGCATCTTGGATGTCTTCGGGCCAAAGTTGCCGCGCGACGCCTCCAGGATTCTCCTTACAACCTCCTCACTTCCCCGGGGGAAGTGAGAAGCTTCCCATGGTTTGACGCATGGGATTGGCTTTAGCTTTCGTAGCAACCGGCTTCATGGATTTTAAACCACCAGCGCCTGGAACCACCAGAAAACCACTACAAAACCACTAACACTTCGACAGACCCTTCACGAGCCCCCTGCACGCCAGGATGTCGCTCCCTGGAGACTACTCGCTTCCCCCCTCGCTAGCTGCCGATGCGTGGCCCCGCCTCCTCGGGCTGTGGCCGAGAGGCCTCTCTGATGTCTTCGGGCCCAGGCTGCCGCGCGACGCCTCCGGGAGTCTCCTCACAACCCCCTCCCTTCCCCCCTCCAGGATCTTCCTCCCAACCTCGCTCGCTGCCGCTTGGTGGCCCCGCCCCCTGCCCGCCGCCCGCCCCCCCCCCCCCCCCCGGGCAGGCCCTGCGGGCCTCGGCGGACCACCGGCGCAACGCGGTGCGGCCGCAGGAGCTGCCGGAGAGCGGCCTCTTCGGGCTGCGGCGCCCCGCCGCCGCCGCGGCGGCGCGCGCGCGGGGCGACGACGCGGCGACGGCGCGGCGGGCGACGACGTCGAGCGACGAGGGAACGGCAAGGGCGCCATCGAGGGCGCGAAGTTCTTCGCGCTTCGCGCGTCGCGGTTCGGCTCCGAGTCCTCCTCGTCCTCCTCTTCTCTCCGGGAGGAGGCGCGGGAGCGCGAAGTTGGGAGCCCTTGGAACGGCGCCTGGACCAACGGACGGCGACGGTGGCGAGCGACGGTGGCGAGCGACTGACGACGAGAGCGACGGCGGCCACGGGCGGCGGACGGCCAAGCGGCGGCGCCGCGCACGGCGACGGCGAGCGGCGAGGGAACGACGGCGAGAGCTCGCCGTGGGGAAACTCTGGGCCTCCCAGGTGGGGTCCGAGCAGGTGGGGTCGGAGGATCGCGCCGCATCACCGATGCATCGACGATGCGGCTCGACGTGAAGCCCGATTTGCTTCACGTCGACGTCGCCGATGCATCGCCGACGTCGACGGTGCGGCGCAATCCTCCGACCACACCTGCTCCGACCCCACCAAGGGGGCCTCTATCCTGAGGGAAACGGATCCTGATGTCTTTCGTTTCTTTTGGGCTCTCGGGACCCTCCACAGGCCCGGGGACTGGTCAGAAATCGACTCCGGATGAAGAGCTGGTCCTGGGGGAAGGCCCCGGGGCCCAGAACCCGTTTCCCTTTGGACCCGGTTCCCCCATGTTGAAGAGGGACCAAAGGCGACGGCGGCGACGGCGAGCGGCGGACAACGAGAACGACGGCGGCGACGGACGGCGGACGACGGCGGTGGACGACGAGGGAGGAAAGACGAGGAACGACGACACGAGGGAGGAGAAGCAGGAGGCGTCGACGGTATCGGCGATCTTGCGGGGCGCGCGGTCGCCACGCCAGGGCGCCGTGTGCATACAGTAGGCACCATTCAGGCTCGCCGATACTGGTGGGCTTGGCTTCTCCACCGAGCGCCACGTTTGACGGCTGTCTGGGGACGATGTGCTTTATTTATTACCTTTGGGCTATTTGGGAGCATTGTTTGCCAATTTGTATTATTCGTGCAAAATCCGCCTGTAGGGGAACATGCCCGACCTAATCGCAGGCCCAAAGGCGCCGCCCTCCTGGGCGTAACGCAGCCGCGCGCTCGCTCCTGGTGGCAGAACTGGCAGTCCTATGGGAAGCGTTTCGGGCTGCCTGGGAGGGAGGAGGGAGGGGGAGGAGGAGGAGGAGGAGGAGGAGGAGGAGGAGGAGGAGGAGGAGGAGGAGGAGGAGGAGGAGGAGGAGGAGGAGGAGGAGGAGGAGGAGGGAGGAGGAGGAGGAGGAGGAGGAGTCAGACTGTGGTGCGAGCCAGAGCGGCAGCTGGAGCCGCCTCGTCGTCCTCCGCAGCTTCCTGCCTGTCCCGTGGCGCGGCGAGGCCCCGCGGAGGCCCAAAAAGGGCGCCCTTTCGAGGGTGCGAAGTTCTCTTCGCGCTTCGCGCTTCGGCTCCGAGTCCTCGTCCTCATCCTCCTCCTCCTCCTGCTCCTCCTCCTCCTCCTCCTCCTGCTCCTCCTCCTCCGCTTCCGCCTCCTCCTTCTCCCCTGGGAGGCGGCGCGGGAGCGCGGAGTGATTCGCGCAGCGCGAAGCGCGAAGCGCGAAGTTGGGAGCCCTTGGAGGCCAAAAACAGAAAGCAAACGGCAGCAGAGTGCAATGCTTCAAATGCGTTGGAGGCCTGGGCCTGGCCCTCGTCACTCGGGGGGGTGGGGGGACAGGGACCTCCGCCACCGGGAGCCGCCCGACCTTTGGATGGTGTCATTCAGGAGGGGAAAAAACACACAGACGCAATGTGTCCCTGGGCCCCTTCAGTCATGCCCGAGCGTCGCCCAGTGCCCGGACGACGCTCAGGCGTGCCACTGCTTGGGTCGGGCCTCCCTCTGATGGATTCCCTGTGGCGGTGTTCTATGTTTCTCTTCTGAGCCGCACCCCGAGAAAGAATCGGGGGCGACCTCACCGAACCCTGGCAGACCATCGCCTTCCGTGACGTCATCTTCGCCTCGCCCCATGACGTGCGTATGCGGCCGGAGGGAAGCTTGGAAGGCGAGGGTGACGTCACGGACGGGGATGGTTTGTCAGGGGTCGGTGAGGCCGCGCCCGAAAGAAGCGACAGGGGAGGTGGATTCCCCTCGAGCCTGGGGCGAGGATGGCGGAACCGTTTCCCCTGGTTGCCGCGGCTGGTGTTTCGTTTGGGTGGCGGCAGTTCCGGCTCGTGGAACGGGCGGGGGGGGGCGTCTCCCAGGACACATCATTAAACCAGGTCCCACCAAACTCGGGCCGGACGAAAGGGGGGGATAGGGAAAGGGGGGGGTACGAAATTTGCTACATGCAGCTGGTTTCGGCCCCACCGAGGGGCCCAGTCCTCGATACGTAGCCGCCTCCGGCGCATCCTATAACATCAAAAGCAAGCGCAGCATACATTCCATCAGGGCACACACAGGCTTACAACGGCCTTACATATATAAACTAGAGGGCGGAAAACGGTCGTAGCTGGATTCACCAGTCGGTGGTTTTTGGCGCGTTCGTTCGCCAGTTCAGGCGTCAGTCCCCTGCTCGGCGGACCCGCGATCGCTCTGAGGCCACGGGGCCCAGTCCATCCAGAATCCCACTACTTGTTGTTCCTCCTCCACTCATTTCCTCCACCTCCTTCCCTCTCTCTCTCTCTCTCCGCCTCTCTCCTCCTGCTTCATCTACAACCCTTTCCTCCCTCCGAGGCCCTCTCTCTCTGTCGAGGCGTGGTGCCCCCGAAGTGAGCAACAACGTACCCCCTCCCCCCCCCCTTGCGGAGGCACAAGCTTGACCTGGGCGGGTTCAACGCGCGAAGGCTGCAGGCGCGCGCCCGCGCTGCGGGAATGGATGGAGGGGGGGGCGATATTATTTTGTTTCTCCTCTGGAGCGTGACGATGATGATGACGACGACGACATCGACATCGTCTTCGTCATCGTCACCGTCATCGTCTTCGTCATCATCATCGTCATCGTCATCCTCATCGTCGTCGTCGTCGCACTACCCGGTTCAATCCCCTCCTCCCCTTGGTGTCGGTGGCGATTCTCATTACTTGGCATCGCTCGGACGTGTGAATTGTGTCTCGGCGAGAACCATCGAGGCGCATCCTGGATCACCGTGCGAATGATATCGCACGAAGCTGAAAAATGCACGAGGAACGGATGGCCGAGCGATGGCCAGATTACGTGAGGAGGAGATGGACCCCGCCGACACATGCTGGCGCTCGCAGGCGGCTGCAAGCATCCCGTCGCCCCTCTCGCGACTTGCGCTCCCAACTCTCACGATTTCTCCCAAATTAGTGCTTGCACTGAAGGGGTCCTAGCGGAAATTGAAAGATTTGGCGAAAGTTTCCCGCCGATTTTGGTGGCCGGCTGGGTTCCCGGGTTCCCGGTTCTGGGTTCCCCCGCGAGTTCTTGGTTGTCAGGTTGACCGAAAAGAGGGTCCAGCGACAAGGGGGTGGTGCAATAGATTTGGTGCAATAGATTCGTGGGGTTGCAATACATTTGGGGCGTGCAATACATTCGGGGGCGAAAATGTTTTGCTGGATTTTCGCGTGCAACACACTACTTGCAATACAACGCAATGCAATACAATTCTCCGGCGCTATACATTTGCAAAACAATTGCCCCAAATATATTGGACCACCCCCTTTCAACTGGACCCCCTTTTGTGTCGCCCAAATATTGGCTCGGGGCCGATTTCGGCGCGTTCTGGGTTCCCGGGTTCCCGGTCGATCTCCTTGTTGATCTCTTTCTCGATCCCATTTCAAACCATCAACTGATTGGGGTTCAGTGATTGGGGTTCTTCTCTGTTGTAATTGAAGTAAGCATGTTTGATGGGGTGGCGCGCGGACTGCCATATAGCCATCGAGGGTTGCAAGCATGAATGATAATGACAGGCGGGATATGTACCCTTCTGCCCCACCTCGCATGTCCAAGCCGTTGACATAACGGCGATTGATCACAAGCCTTTCTCTCTGGTCTACAGTACCCGGTACCCCGTTGGATGTCAACGAGGGCGTGCGGGTGAACAAGACACTTCGGGCGAATTACACCAGAGATACCACTGCTATTGCAGGACCGGGCTAGATGGTTGACTCTGGAGTAGCACGTTCGGCAGCCGACGACAATCAAGTGTCAATCTTGGTTTTGGTCAATTTCGGGTTCGCTGAACAAATCGAAAGGCTATCGCAATTGCCGCCGATCCCATCCATGGTTGTTTGTTGTGGGGTGCTACTCCTTACTGCGTTTCCTCATCCCTTCTCCATGCTTTCCTCTCTCACTCCGCATTGCCATGTCTCGTCGCACATGTTCGGTAATATTCCTCATTGTCCGATCCTCCTCGTCAGCCGTGCTCTTCATTTCTCCCTCGCTCCGCGCCCCTCGTCCAAAGGTATGGCCGGGAGAGGGCGAAGCCCTGGGATAGGCGGTGCCGAAGAAGATGTGCAGGAAAAATGTACTTTTTGGACAGGAGCCCGGTGGCGAAGTCCCGGGAGGTAGAAAACCGCGGTGGTGCCGTCAGCGGCGCTTCGAGAACACCAGCCTCACAAACTGCGGGAGAGGACGCGCCACGTCACCAGGTCGACGCCCGAGAGGAAGAGGAGCACCACTGGAACGAAGTGCAACGTTGTGCCACCAAAGGTGATTCCAGGAGGTCCAGCCGATCCACCGCAATACAATTATTCATTCCTCCTCGCCCCTCCTGTTCTCGTTTCCCCGCTCCTCCATCGCACCATGTCCGCGGTCGTCCTCATTCGTCCCCATCTTTGCTCCGCCCACCTTCTCGCCATTTCCTGAAGAGATACACCGTGGAGGGGTCAGACGCCGTGGGTAGTTAGAGACACGGATCGAATCGCACACGCTTTGGGGTCGGCGGGTTTATCAGGTTTGGTCAGAAGGAGGCAGGAGTTTTGCTTCAAGAACAGATTCTGGAAAAGCCCCGCAGTAATCCAACTGCAGATCTGGAATTCGTATTTCGGCGAAATTCGTTGGTCCATTTCTTTTCAGCTGAAGCAGAACGTTCACTTGTTACAGCTATGTTTGAGTCACAGCACCTCGCACCTGTAGCAGCTCTGGCCCTCGAGATTGACACTCAGCGTTTTGAATTGTCAGGCCCAGTGAAATCCATTGCTGGGGAATTTTTCATATACAGGTTAACGTTTCGATGAAATCTACCACTTGCCACAATGTTGCAGATGCTTCTGTGATGGACGACGGACTGGCATCTCCTCTTGGGAAGCCTTGGTTTTCATACAAGGCTCTGCTTGCATGCGGGACGAAGTCTGCCGATGTGTGGACTGCGATGGGCACGACAACGAGAATGAAACTGCAGTTGAAGTCTCCTTCAACGGAGCATCGCAAGGTTTCCTCTGGGAAGTCGACAGTGTCGGCAGACCGGGAGACTATTATCAAGGTCATCCGCGCACGGCAACGGATAACCAGATCCCGGGCCAGATGTCGAGAGTTGAGGCCAACACGTTCCCCAAGCAGTTTATTGCAATTCCAGCCGATTACCACAAGTTCTGGTAGGATGGCACTTGTCCTCCGGGAGAAAATGCCCAGATCAATGCGATGTTGGTGGCTACCAGCTTCTCTGCATTATTGTTGTTGGAGGTAAGTCAAAGGGAAAAGCTCTCGGGGCGGACAGAGCCCCGCCCCTGACACGTCGTTTAGTGGGTTGTCCGTTTTCGGTTCTCGAGGGCGCCGCGGCCGTCATTTTCCAGGCTTGCGCCCGCTTGCGCCCGCGTCGTTCTCACAAAACCACGTTTTGCTAAAGGGGGTTCTGTCCATCCTCGCAGCTCTGGCTTCGCCGATGGTGGCAAGCGAGGCTCCTGACCGTGGACAGGATTTCATACAGCCTTTAATTCGAACATCACATGCGTACTGAGTATTCGAAGCTTTCGCCTGGGTGCATCTGCTCTCTGAAGCGCCCCAGTCGAATCTGAGCGATGTGATAAGTTGTCATGGGTGGAACGATGTGGATACAAGGAAGCTCGGGAAACAAAACGCAGCACGGCACTTGCACAATCTAGCTTTCAGGGCTCCCGTAGATCCGGGCCTCTGTCGGATGCTAGCTAGCATTGGACAGAGGCCCGGATCTTCGATGCTTGAGTGTTCGATCTTCGATGTGGATTGTATTGATGGTTATCTCGTATAACAATGCTGCATGGTAGAACCAGGGTGTGCCGAAACCTTTCGACGAGCCACCGATTCGGGATGGCTCTTTCGTCTGCTTCACAGTCGTGCTGAAGTTTGCGCTTCCGCTTCACAGCAGATTTCTTGTGTGCACGCAGATCTTCTGCAGCGCATTCTGTGCTTTTCCCGACGAGTTGCCAATCGCGCACTCTTTTGCCCACTCGTCTTTCCGGTGGCTCAGTAGTGCTCTGTCCACGAGGCATGGGCGTTGTTGTCAAACACCCTGAGGCATGGGCGTTGTTGCCGAATACAAGCGGTGGCTCAGCTTTTGCTCTGGCCAGCAGGTTGTGCGGGCAGGCAGGTTCGAGGTTGTGGGTTCGGAAGGGTCTTTGGTCTCTTTCGGCCTCCGGGGGTCGTTTTCGGGTCCCAGAACCATGAAAAACGGATCCAGGGTGAACCTGGTGAACCCCGAAGAGACTCCGGGAACAGATTTTGAGTGGGTTTGGCTTCAACTCCCCCTCTTGACCCGTCCCTTGGGGTCGCCGTCACTTCAGACACCCAGGCCGCCTCCGAGTTGGAGGCTTGCACGGTGCCGTAGGTTCGCGACGGTTCTGCGAGGGTCAGCGGCGCCGCAACAAAAAGCTTTCGCAAGGTCGCTCGAGGTTCGAGGTGTTGTACGTTTTGTGTGTTCTCGGCGGTGTTGCGAGGGTCAGCGGCACGGCAGTGGTCATTTGCAAGGGCGTTCGAGGTCCGAGCTTGTGTACGTTGTCGTATGTTTCCGGCGGTTCTACGAAGGTCAGAGGCGCCGCAGTGGGCATCCGCAAGAGGGTTCGAGGTTGGTGGTGTTGTACTTGTTTGTGGGTTCTCGGCAGTCTGGGGAGGGCCAGCGGCACCGCAGGGGGCGTTCCTCCTCCTCCTCCTCCTCCTCCTCCTCGCTCCTCCTCCTCGCTCCTCCTCCTCCTCCTCCTCCTCCTCCTTCTCCTTCTCCTCGCTCCTCCTCCTCCTCCTTTTCCTCCTCCTTCTCCTCCTCGGGAGAGGGAGAGGGGGGAACCAAGCTGGGTGCGCTCGCGTCTTATCTGACATCCTACTCCTCCCTCCCATCCCTTACCATGGCGTAGATCCCCTCTCTACTCGCACAGTCGGATGTTGAGCAGGGCAATGATCCCGAAAGGGTACGCGATGCATTGTAGAGCACGGCATGGCATGGCGTGGAAGAGCACCGCAAAGCGTAGTATGTCACAGTATGGCGTGGCGTGGCGTAGTGAATCATTGCATCACAAAGCTTTGCATCGCAAAGCATGGCAGCGCACAGCGGCCTCGAACATAACATTTCAGACCATGGTGTTGAACATCAAAGCGTAGCATGGCATAGCATGACGTGGCACTTACGCTTTGGATATGACAGCTGCAGCTGAAGGCATGGCATCGCGCAGCGGAACGCAACCTAGCATAGCATTGCATGCCGTGGCATGGCACGGGAGATGACGCCAGCGCTGCAGCGGGAGCACGATTCGGAACGAGCGGAAGCGCGGAAATGAGGCCAGCGTTGCAGCGGGAGCACGATTCGGAACGAGCGGAAACACGGAAATGAGGCCAGCGCTGCAGCGGGAGCACGATTCGGAACGAGCGGAAGCCCAAAAATGAAGCCCGCGCTTCAGCGCGAGCACCATTTTGAAAAACACCCAAGCGACAACCCAACTCCGGGAAATCCTGTGTGTTTAATAAACAGTACGCGGAGGGGGGCCCGCTATCTCCTGCACGCCATCAGGGGATGGAGGAGAGTAGTATTCATATTGTGTAATTGTACACACAGGGGGAGGGCGGAGGCGGGGTGGAAATGGGGGCGAAGAGGGGTGATAGGGGAGAGGATGGGGAGATGGAGAGGGAGACGGGGGGGGAGGGGGGCGCAGAAGGGGAGGAGACGGAGCAGGAGGAGCGGGACTTTTGTGCCTCTTGGCTGCCATCCTCGCAGTCCCGAGCAGGCGCTGAGGGCATACATGGAAACCTTGCTGACGCAGGTCAACAAGCTTGACGATGACCCCAGCCTCGCCAGCTTCTTCAAGCGCGACCGGTGTCGAGGGATCGAATCGCCAGGCGATCGCAGACACGGATCAGGGGTGCGTGCGCTAGCGACGGGTCCCGCTTCCGTGGGGGAGCGCGGAGATCCGCCGCCGAACGGGGCGGCAACGGCCGCATGTTGGGGAGGGCACCTCCCCCGATTCATGGATCCAAGGGCGCCCTCGAGGGCGCTAAGTTACTCGCGCTTCGCGGTTCGGCTCCGATTCCTCCTCTTCTTCCTTTTCTCCCCTGGGAGGCGGCGCGAGAGCGCGAAGTGATTCGCACTTCGCGCTTCGCGCAGCGCGAAGCGCGAAGTTGGGAGCCTTCTTGTCGATCTGGCGACCGCGCGCCAGATCCACGGATCGCTGGTCCACGCTTGCGCGCCCCGGAGAGCATGGCTGGGCGGCGGGGCTCGCCAGAAGGCCCAGGCCTCCCGAGGGAGGCGGCCGCACAGGCCCCGGGGGGCTGCTCCACGGCCAGTCCTCCCGAGTGCCCCCCCCTAATAAGCCGGACCCCCCCCCCCAGTTACAAGAACGGCGCCTTACAAAAAAACGGGCCCGGGAGACGATGCACAGAAGGGGTTTGGAGTACCCCGGACAGCTCGGGCGCCCTTAGGTGCTTGTTGCCCCCCTGGAGAGGTGCGTGCGGCGCGTGATGCGGTGAGCGGCGCCGAGGCGGCGCCGAGGCGGCGGCGGCGCCGTCGTCGGCGCGCCGGGGGCCGTCGGCTGCCGCTGCGCCTCGGCGAGCGCGGCGCGCGGCCCGCGCCGAGCCGCCGCGGCGCGGAGGCGTTGCTCGGCAGGCCTCGGCAGGCCTCGGAGGTTGCCGCCATCGGGGGTGGAAAAGAGGGGGGTGATGACTAGGGGGGGTGGATATCATGGCGTGGGCCATGATTTTTCCCCAGATTTCATGCGCCTCTTCTTATTTCATTACGTCCCAGGCCCCCCCGCTGGGCCGCGCACATGCCGCCGGTCATGATTTGCACCCCCCCCTCTTGGACACCCCCCTCTTGGCCGCTCCCGACGCCACGGCTCGAGCGGAACGGTGTGCTCCTCTCTGTGATTTTTGTGTTTCATTGTTTTGCCCATCGGCGCGGGCCCTCGTACACCCCCCGCATGGAGCAGGTCTTGGCTGTTTTTGGTGCCTGTTCCGAGCAGGCGGGGTTCTTCCCCGTCGGCCGCACTGCTGCAAACAGTCGCACTAAGCAGAGGTCCGGAGCCAGCCCCCTCCCCCCCCCCGCCTCCCCCCCTTCCGCCAAATGTCGAAACGCCGAATACGAAAACGCTCACTTTTTGGCGATGGTTGCGTTTTCCTCCGTTTCGTCTTCGTTCTGCCCTTGCTGCGAAACGGCATCAGACGGTCCACGACATTGCCAAGGCATTGTTTAGCTCGAGCCCTAATTTTCGCACCCCAGGGTGGTGTCCCCATGCTGCGCCTCGCCGAGGGCGTGCCAGTGGTGCCAGAATCTTCCCGACCGGCCGCCAGAGAGTCGAGCTATGGCTTGCGAACCGGCGCGCCCCCCAACAGCGTGTGGATCGCACCGCGTGGTGAGTCGGTGGGGACTCGCGGTGCTGCTGGTGGAGGTGTTGGAGGCATTTCGCGTTGGAGGACTTCGGTTCAGGAGTTCCCCATCCCAGCAGCTCTTCTCCGAGCTCTGCACCGCGTGTCCACTGACAGGTGCCTGTCCTGTGCTCGGTCGGCGCGCGCGTCGACCGAGCCTGGCGCCACGCGTGCGGAGCGCCTCCGGCGGCCTGCGCAAGAAGGAGCTTCCTGGAGGCCTCTTTGGGGGCATCCTGGGGGGCTTTAGGCCTCCCAGAGGGGGTCGGAGCAGCGGCTCGATGTGAAGCCCGACTCTCTCCACGCCGACGTCGCCGATGCGTCGCTAACGTCGCCGATGCATCGCCGATGCATCGGTGATGCATCGGCGGTGCGGCGCGATCTTCCGACCCCATCCACTCCGACCACATCTGGTGGGCCTCTAGGGGCCTGTTGGGGCCTCTTGGGGGCCCCTTGGGAATCCCTGGGCCGTCTCAGTGTGCTCTTGACCCGTCCGAAGTCTTCGGAGGCGGTCTTGGGGACCCCTGTGGAACGTCTTGGTGCCCTCCTGGAGCGCTCCAGGGCTCATGAGAATGGTATGTCTCAGCATCGCCTAACCGATTCCCATCCCCGCTTGGCCACAGTGTCTCGGACCCACCAGGTGACCCGCCCAGGGTGGCAGCTCTTCGAGCAGGAAGGGGGGGGCCTGCTGGGTGCCTGTGGGGACCGAAGGCGCGAGTTCCTGGCTCGTGCTCTTCCACTCTTGGGACCGTCTTGGGGCCATCCTGTGATTCACAAATGACCGGACCCCCCCCTCCCTTGAGGTTGATGAGTAGACCCCGCGGGGCGCGATATTTGTTTTGATCACGCGCGCCAGGGGGGAGGAGGAGAGAGGAGGGGGAGGGAGGAGAAGGAGGAGAAGGAGGTGGACGAGGAAGAGGAGGAGGAGAGGGAGTAGGAGGAGGAGGAGGACGACGACGACGAGGAGGAGGAGGAGACGGTGGAGGAGGAGGAGGAGGAGGAGGAGGAGGAGGAGGAGGAGGAGCACGAACGGCCAGGAAAGGAATGGGGGGGTTCGAAGCCTGCTGCGCGCAGCTGGTTTCGGTCGCCCCGCGGAAGGGCCAGTCCTCGACGCATGGCCGCTTTCGGCGCCAGGATGGGCTCGGAAAATCGGCGATGTGAGCTGCTTGGCAGATCCCCCCTTGCTGCGCCCCACTTTCGTCCAGCCCGCCTTGCCCGCGGCCCGCATCGGTTCGACAGAACGCGGGGCGCCCTGGCTCGCCCTTGCCTTTGGGTTTAACAGTGGTCCTCCTCCTCGTCGTCTCGCTCCAACTGCTGCAACTGCTGTGATACACCCTTCACTCCCTCCTGGTTCGCTCCCGCGCATCGTTGTGTTGCCGCATCTTGTTTTCCTTCTCCTTTCTCGGTGTTCCTCCTTCTCCCTCCTTCCCCATTTCCTCTTACTCTTCTGCCTCATTATTATTGCACGTCGCCTCCTCCTTTTTCCCCCTTCTCTCGCAGTCTTCCTTTCCTCCCCCTTCCGACTTCTTGGCACAGGACTCCCAACACCGCCAATTGTATTGGGACTTGTCCTTGCAGTTGCTCCTCGCGTTCTGGTCGAAGTCGCCGCTTCGACGAGCGAGCTATTCATCCTTCGCCCTCCAGCCTTCCTTTTCTGCTGACCATCCGAAAGTCGAAACGCATTGCCATTCGCCCAGGGTGGCCCGGGGTGGCCTTGCCTTCCCTGCAACCCATTCGTCGTAGTGAGACCTTGTCGGGCCTGCCGGTCTTTTTTGTTGTCAGGGGTGCGCGAGGGCCGCCCATGTTTCGGAGCGAATGGCGAATTGCTTTAACATGTTCCCGCTGCTGCCTCGCTCGCACCTGTTGTGAGACGGTGCTTTTCCGGAGAGCTGAGTAATTATTCCCGCTGGGCGTTGCGTAATGGGGGGGTCATACAGGGGGGGTGGCGAGGGTGGTCCGAGAAGGTACCCAAACGGTACCTAAACGAGCCCCTCTGGGGCTCCAGAGGAGCCCGAAAAGGGCACGAAAGGGAACCGTTTCTGACCCCCCCCCACTTATTCAGGGGAGGGAAAGCCACCCCGACCCCGACCCCGACAACTGGCGTTTACTAAACGGCCCTGGACGTTTACTAAACGGCCCTGCCCTGTTCGGTTCCTTCCTTGGATGCGTTTGCTAAACGGCTTCGCTTGCCGGGGTGCTTATTACGGGGGTGGATTTTCTGCTCTATGTATGACCCCCCTCATGAAGCCACGCCCAATCCCAGATCTCCGGCGTCCGGGAAATTCAGACAGAGACGGGCTGTGCTGGTGCTGCAGCTGGCGTGCCACCCGATGTCCGTTCTGGGCCCTGGTGCCTTTTCAAAACCCAGGGGGGGCAAGTAGGTGCAGACGCAACTAAGCACACATCGCCATGACAGCATGCGAAAATGTTTGGAACCCCAGGGGAATCCAGCAATCCAGCAGAAAGGAATGTGGAACATTGGGGGGCCCTTGAACTCGAGCCTGCTTGTTCTTGTGTTTTCCTGGGCGCCTCTCAGGGAAAAAAGGCCTGCCTGGGGCGCCTCGGGACCCTCGGGGCGTCGGAGGCCTGGGAGGCGGCGCTTCCTCTCCCGGCTGCGGGCCGCCCCGAGGCCGCCCCGGGGCCTGCGCAGTGGGGCGTCCGGAGGAGGCCGGGCGCGGGTCTCGGAGGCCCCGCTGCCGTTCGGGGGCGTCGCGGTTCGAGCGTTCCTCGGGGGCGGCCAAGAGGGGCGTGATGCCCACAGGGGCCTGTGCCGCCTGTGCCGCTTTGGCCTCCCCTGCTCGCCGCTCCCGCTCCTCGCCCCTGCTGCGATCACTGTGCTCCCCCGTGCTCGCCGCTCGTGCTCCGCGCGGCCCCCCCCGTGCGCCCCCCGTGCTCCCCCCCCCTTCTCCGCCTCCCGCCGCGCCT